GAGTACCTTAGAATTATTTCTTTACCTATTCCGAGGAACTAAACATTTTTTTTTTGGTATTCCATTTTTTCACATAATTATTTACTTACGTAAGTCTAATCCGTCCATACACGTGGATCATTTTGTTGTTTTATACGGCTTTGGTTTATTTGTTCTTTATGCTCGCATTTTCTCCAGTTTTTTTTTTACGTTAAATTTCCACAGTTCATGTATTGACATGATTTAGATGCCGGCTCAACTCTACACTTTTATTTCGTTTTTGTTTTTGTTTTATTAATCTCTAGCACTGTTTCCTCTATTGGTAAAAATAGAATTTGTAGTTGCATCGCGTGTTAATTTTAGTTTGCTCTGATGTTTTTTTTCTGAATCACGTTTTGTATGCAAGTTTAATTCGCTAGTATTGGCCGGTAAGAGTGACCCACTCGCCGCCCGAAATCACGAGTGCGTGATCGCGGTGCCAATAAACTAAATTCATTGAACCTCTGCTTAGCAGGTGAATGCTAAATTTATAGTTATGTATGTATATATCTACGCTGTTAATGACATTCCCCACAGGTTCTCTACGCATGCTGGTACCAACATCACTGGAATGACCAGGTGAGTATGTTTATGTTCGTTTTGCTACCCTGCAGGGAAACCGCGGACTAGTGGTCCTAGTTACTAGGTCTTTATCGCCAAAAAGGAACTAGGCCGATAGGAACTAGATGCCCACCAGTCCAAAATCGTCGAAAAGTGGTACTTTTAAGAAACTAATTTTTTCAGTTTTTTTCACTAAAAATCCATATCTAAAGTGACGAATTTAGATGCAGAACGAACTAGATCCTATTTGTCGAATTTAGAACTATTTCGGAACTATCGAATAAGGGATGCAGCGGGGGGCTGGTTTACTTTACATAGATATGTTTTCGGCGGCTTTTTCGCTCAAATACGCTTCTATTCTGTGCTTCGCAGATGCTTTTCATACCTTGGTAATACAAAACTAAAATTTGTGTTAACATTTCAACATATTGGGACCGTCTGGAATCTAATAAATAACAGCGAGCACCTCTGCAAACTCAGCTACAGCTAAAGGTATGTAAACGTACATTTCTTAAAATCATTCAAACAAATTTAATTTCAAATTGGAAACACATTTCTTCCAAAATAAC